AAAAATGTATTAATTACTTTTAACCCTTGCTCCTTATGTAAAGTTAGAAAAATCCTTTCTTAAAATGTTAGGTTTTTTTTTTTTTTTCCTTTTCTGTTTTTAATTTTTTGTTCTTAATAAAATATACATAATTCGAGTATAAATACAATAGAAATAGGGAAATTGCATATATAATTTGAAATAAAAATGTCATTTATTTTGTAATACTCTCTTGATATAGTAGACTGGAATTCCATATGTAGTATTTTACTCCTTAATTTGAGTTTGCTTCCTTCTAATAGATTTGAGAAAGAGGCTGCAACTTGATTCTGGAAAACCAAGGACCAATCCTGATCCAATCCATCATAAAATTATTGGCTTGGTCTGCATACATGAGTTCTTTAATTAATTATTCCATATCTTACCAAAATGAACAGAAGAAGAATGTGTGGAATAAGAAAATTAAAAAAGAACCATGGATTCTACCTCACGCTTTCTCTCACTTATAGGAGGCAAGAATAATCTTGAAGACTACTTTGTAAGCTTTAACTTTTTCATGTATAAGATTTCATACTTGGTTTTGTTTTCTTAGAACTCAAGAATATAGAGTTACGAGCATATAGAATAAATCTTGTTCAAGTAAGGTCATATTCTGGGTAGATTTTGGGATAATCTTTCGTATGAATGTGTTGACAGTATCACTCTACCCTTATAATCTACTTTTTTTGTACCGATAAGAGTACCATTTATACTCCAACTTAATAATAGTATCTTTTGCTGATCCAAAAAAAGAAAGTAATATCATATTCTTGGCTTTATTTTCAAGGCATTAATTTTTTCAGAAACCTAAACAAGAGGAATTTGATTTTTAATTCCATGTGTTTCGTCTTGCTATCCACTTTTCAAAAGATAAATTCATCAATGTACTTAGACAAAACAAAATTCAAGTTATTGGAATATATCTTTTGCTTTGTGTTGTTTGCCTTTCTTCTTGTTCCTCATGTTTTAAAAGCAATTCTTTCTTTCACCTTTTATACATCTCACTCTTACTCCTACCTTTTCTCTTTTCCCTTCCTAAGGATTGCCTTT